GGGCTGAGTTTTTATTAATCTTTCTGGGCTCCACTGTAAGATGCTGAAAAAGCTAATATGAGATCATTGTATCTATCTATCTGGTTAATGTGTGTGCTTTGCAAAACTGGTAAGGCCTGTCAAGACATAAATTATTTCAAATATGATAAATGTGTTGAAATCGTTGAATTTTCAACCGGATAAAGCAGAACTATTTCTCTTCACTCCCCACCCCCTTCAAACTGAGGTTTTGTGCAGCCACTCAATGATGCTGCATTATGGCGGCCAGGGAGGTTCTGAGATGACACGAGGAAGCCTGCAAAGTGCCCTGTGCTGCTGCAGCAGTGACACGAGTATAAACCATGAGCTACAGCCTAAGGGATGGAAGTAGCTGAGTGAGGGGATCGCTGGAAGCCTCCCTCATTTTGGATTTATCATCACTGGTGGTGGGAGGAAGTTACTGAGTACCACCTCCTTCCTACCACCCTTTCCTCTCCGTCAGTGGGATAAAACACTCACCAGTGAGTGGCCAAGAGGTGCTTCAGAGCTGTTTATCCCAACAGACCTATTTATTTTAGCTAATTACCAAGAGTTTTTAAATGATTCCTGGCAGGGTGAAGCTATAGGAATGATTGTGGTGATTGGTGAATAACCTGGGTAAAAATCTCAAAGCATCAAAATGATGAACTCCTGCACACCTGCTTTGCCCAGCAAGTTCCAGACAACCCCAAATTTATCTGGGCAAGTAGAAAAAACTGCAGCATTTACTGGTTCCAGTGTCACAGCAACACGGGCTCATTTCTCAGAAACAGTTGACAGGGAATGTTATTTAACCCTGTGCTGCTCTGCCATGGTCAGGATCATTCATGGAGAGAGAGTTCTTGAAAAGCATCTTTCGGAGAAGTGCGCAGGGAAAAACAAGTAACTTGAAGTTTAAAACTCCATGAATATAAAGCACATCATGCTTTGGTTTGAGCTGCTCTTGTGGTTAACATAGCAAAAAGAAACACTAAGCCATGCAGTGTATTCTGTGCATCTTGGCTGGTCCAAGATTATGTTTCTTACTGGAAGATATCTGCAGTCTAATGGAAATTTTAGAGTATCCAGGTGACATTTTACAGCCTGTGTAATACAGAAAAAGATTAGGTGTTTGCTTCTGTTTGGAAATTGATGGTTTGGAGGGAATGGGAAATGCAGGTGCAGCAGAGAACTGCAGCAATAGCCATCTATTTAAATGTATATGCTAACTTCCCTAAGCTAGTATTTTTTCAAATACCCTACAAGCAGTATTTTCCACTATAGGGAAGCATTATAGTGAAATGGGAAGATGCTGAGGAAGTAATTTTTTCCAGCATGTGCTGCATTCTTTCAATACAGATTTTTTTATTGCCTAGAAATTGCTAACCAGTGTGAATAAACAGCTGAACAAAAGAGCATCGGCCCATCCTTGCTAACAGCAAAAACCTGCTGTCAAGCGAAGGAAGGGCCTTTGTGATGTATAGAGGAAAATTAAGCATTAAGAGTTTGGTTCTCTTATAGTGCAGAAAGCTTTATTCAAAATAGGAAAAAAACCCAAGTTCCTGCACATGCACAAAAAAGATTTTACATTAAAATAGCATAAGTATTATTCACATTTCTGAACAATGCCCCCTCATTCCTGCTCCTGCGCTGGCCACTGAGCAGAGCCAGGAGGGCCTTTGTTAGACACCTTAGTATTGAACATTTGCAAAACACAACAAATGTGCCACCCTGCCCAGTCCCCTTCCCTGCAGCCCATGGAGCTGACAACTCTGTCAGCCTCTGAAGCTCCTGCCGATACTGAAATCAGTGAAACAAGAAGTTGGATGAAGACAGTTAATTCTGAGCGAGATTGGAGAATCCTGCAGTCTACAAACTGTTTCAAGGAGGAGGAAGAAAAAGATGACTCAGGTCAAGTGTCAGGTACATCTCTCAGCTGTAGTTAGTGATTGCTGCCTAGGTGTTAAAGGCAAATAATTGAATATATTAATGATTTAATGTTCCCGTATTATGAAAGCTGTTTCATTGCCACATGAAATAGTCCCCGTTGCTGTAGCTCTGTTTCATTATCTTATGATTACATCTCATTCAGTGTAACACATAAACAATTAAAAGTAGTAGTTTAGTGTGATGCAACTCTGCAATTCCACCATCATGGTTTTGAAATAATTGTGCCCTAACACATTATCAATGTGACAAACCCACCTGGTTTTAGCATACATTAGTATTTCCCACCCTTCAGCCATCCCAAACCTTACACCTACATATTTCTTCTTTTTGTATCAGAGCCTTCTGAAAAAAGCAGTTCAAAAAGCAATACTCTGCTATCTCATTTGGACTGAAGGCCCCCTGAAGAGACATACATTGAGTATTACCAGCAGCACATGACTCTTTGCCCTCTAGGTCACTTTGTAAAAGGAGAGAGAAGAAATACCTAAGAGCCATTGCATGGATTTCAGTAAACATTGCAGAAGTAGCCCAGAAGGACGTGTGCGTGTCCCTGTGCCCTTGCCAGAGAACAGTCAGAACTGGGTGTGGACACCAGCAAAGTTAGAAGCTCCTGTGAACCAAGTGGTTTCTTTTCTAGGTATTCCTACTTAAAATTTCCAATGGCAGTTCCCTCCAACTCAGTTGCTAACAGCAGCACCAACCACCCGTGCCCACAGTTTTGGGTGGTCATTAGCATTTTAAGTAGCAGATGCTTTAGCCATGCAAACACAGAGAAAAGTGTCTGGTATTTCAGCACTGCCAGGCCCCTGGTCCCAGCTGCAATCTAGAAACACAGCAGCAAAGCCTCTTCCGTGCTTCTAAAGGCCTCAGGTCAGTTTTGAGGTGGAGGATGGGCAAACATGTGCATCAGTTCTTGTATCATCTGAACAGGGTCACTTCTCTGTGGCAGGGGAGTTATTTTGCTGGCAGTGGTGATGGCCAGCTGTTCTCAGCATCACCCCACTGATTCTGAGATTGGGAGCAGGCTTAAAAGTGGCTGAAGACCCACGCATAAACATGACGTTGCTTCACCAGGAGCTTTCCATCACAGCAGAAATGATGCTTCCCCCAGCATCGTTATGACAGCGCTATTTGTGCTGGTACAGATAAGCATCTGTCACTGTTTCCATTAGAATCTCCTATTTTCCTGGGTTCATAGCTCAGCCATAAAAAATGTAGCATAGAGGCAGAAAGTTGACATACAGGGTCTCAGGCTGAGAGTGATCGCTGTTGTCTGTTCTTCCCCCCTTCCTAATCTGAAGAAGAAAATACTGTACTTCTGCAGAAACATGCCTGACCACTGCATTTCGACCCAGCTGTAGATTTATTTAGCAATAGTAATGGTGATGGCATTCAAGTTGTGAACATTGCTGCAATGGCCACCTTTCAACATCCAATCTTAATTACTGGGTTAGGGATGATGAAAAAGGACAACATGGCAAGTGGGTTTGGGCACTAGAGTAGAGCCTATTGCTAGAGAATAGGCCCCAGTGAGGAATAAGCCCTTCAGAGCTTCTGATCTTTGCCAGATGTTGAAACTAAAAATTAAAGATCATAGAAAGAGAATATTCTAGAAGCTGAATACTGCTAGGAGCTGAAGGCATAAAAGACCCCTTTGGATGAGTAGCAGAGGGAAAAGCAAGCCCAGCATTGCAGTTTCCCCAGTGAGACAGGTAGCACATCCCACCCAGCATCAGCACTCAACATTTTGATTGCTTTAGGCAAGCTTCGACCCTGTAATCCTGCTGTGGTTGCCTGCTGGATAGTGAAAGCTTCATCCTGTGTGGCAGCGATACTGGAAGCCCTCTATCCAGATCCTGGCACTGCAAGATGGATGATGAAGTGAGAGCAGCATTTGGCCAGGAGGAAGAGGCAGCAGCAATTTCTCACTGAGGATGAGAGCAGTGCCTTCTTTCCATTTTAAGTGCCTTTTCATTCTCTTCACACATTTTGTAAGAATAATTGCAGCTGAAAAAGTTTTTCTCTATACATTAGGATGGTAGCGTAAGGCAGTCCTGAAGAGTGCAAATCCTGAAAAGCCATTATCCGAAACTTACAGTCAACCCTTAAAGGAATTAAACAGGAAAAGTTATACGGTCATCTCTAGCCTGCTGAAATAAGGATTCTGCTTCTGACCTCCTGAGCATTCTGCATTTTCAACAGGACTCCCCCATCATGCAGGAAGAACATACACAAGCAGTGTCTCTCTACCTTAAATTGGAAGTCTGCTGCTTACTTTCAATGTTTCACTCTGAAATCTGACGCTGTTCTGTTGCTACCAGAAGTAATTACTTGCTTTCCGATTATAGACAATTTTGTATCAGACTTAGCTTGGTCTCGTCACATTTCTGAATAGTGAGATATGTGATATGGCTGGGATTGCTCAGAGCTTCTTGAAGGCTGGGCCTGGCTAAATGCAGGCAGCTTAGCAACTGAAGCCAGGACACCAAAAATATGATTACCTTTGATGTCAGTCTCAAATTAAAGTACAAATGGGCATGTTAAGTTGGGAAAAATGGAAGAGGCAACACCAGGAAAGACAAAAGTACTATAAAAAGTTTAGTACACAAATGCAATACCAGAAGCAACTGAGCAAGGCAGGATTTTAAGCTTAAACCAGTTGACAGGTTAAGAGAAGAGAAAAAGAAAAGGGGAATGGGAAATGCTGCTGGATCTGTTTCACTCCCATCTCTCAGCAGAGGTGCCACTTTGCTTTCAGATTTTCCTGCTTCTGTGGGTATCTTTCTATTTAACAAATGTGCAAACAGAGGATGTCTGCTCCTGCACATCACAGCCTGCAACCTGTCCAGAGATTTATCCATTTGTGCCAGTGGACAGCTCCTGCTGAGCTTTTTGCATCTTCTGTCAGCTATTTTGAGTAAAATTCTTGAGCTTTCATGGGGCAGAAGATGGTGCTGGACTAGTTCAGATGCTGCTGGTGTAAAAATAAGTATTAATGGCTCCTCTAGTGTCTTGATAGTTTTATACAACTCTTTCTTTCTGCTTTGAAACAGGTATTTTGTGACACTAATCGAGTCGTACAAGCCACAGACGTGCTGGACTGGGAAGACAAGGATGCTGCAGAGACACTCGTTGACAACGTGGTCCATTCCAGGATCATCAATCCTTTACGTCTGTTTGTTAAGCCATCTCCAGTACTGAAACATGGCCAGGTGTCCTACTCGGACAGTATAGAAAACTTCTGGGATTGGTTGTCCAATATCACAGAGGTTCAGGAATCCCTCACACGAACTAAACGCAGACCTATAGTAAAAACTGGGAAATTCAAGAAAATGTTCGGATGGGGCGACTTCCACTCTAACATCAAAACTGTTAAGCTGAACCTCCTCATCACAGGGAAGATTGTCGATCACGGCAATGGGACCTTCAGTGTTTATTTCCGACATAACTCCACAGGTTTAGGAAATGTTTCTGTAAGCCTGGTGCCACCTTCTAAGGTGGTTGAGTTTGAATCATCTCCACAGTCAACACTGGAGACCAAGGAATCCAAGTCCTTCAACTGCCGAATCGAGTATGAAAAAACAGACCGCGCTAAAAAAACTGCCTTGTGCAATTTTGATCCTTCAAAGATCTGCTACCAAGAGCAGACTCAAAGCCATGTCTCCTGGTTGTGTTCCAAACCCTTTAAAGTTATCTGCATCTACATTGCTTTCTACAGCGTAGATTACAAACTGGTGCAAAAGGTCTGTCCTGATTATAATTACCATAGTGAGACTCCGTACTTGTCTTCTGGCTGATGCGGTTGTGGGTAACTAGAGATACAGCATCACTCAAAAACACGCATTTCCATTAACCTTTTGGACAAGAACATGTTTTCCTAACAGGTTAAAAAATCCTTAAAAACTGTAGTGGTGTTTGTGCTGTATCGTAGATAATCATACTGTTTAGGTAACAATCATTTTCCTTTGAGACTCTTGCATTTTGGCTCTCCTCATTAATAAGGGAACTACCAGGCAGACCCATGACAAAATTCAAACAGAATTCTGTCTGTCGTGAACACTGATCTTGAAAACCAGTTTTGTAAACTAGACTTGATGGCAGAGATGTCTTTTACTTGCATTGGATCCTGTTTCTCACTGGGGACATCAGATGATGACATAAAGAAGAAATGATGAAGCAGACTCTCACATGCTTATATACAAAATCCAAATAAACAGATCTCCCACTAAGTTAATAAAGAATGTTACACAGGGCTCAAGGAATCAAGTCCAAATACTAGGAGAAAATGCTATTTCTGGGACAAAAAAAGGAAAGGAATCTGCATTTTTATGAGTTGCAGTAGTTGTACGTATTAATTGAAGAGCGGGTAGTTCTTCCTTCAGCCTTCTTACCTGTGGATATGCAATGATGTAATTAGACATTGATGAGCTTTAGTTTATCAGACCCACCAGGTGTGCAGGTTTGGTGTGCATCACCTCTGGTGATTCTTCTCCACTGTTCCAATTCGTTTCGAAATCTTCTCCACGATTTCGTTTCGATTTCGATTCTTCTCCACTGTTTACATTTACACCAGTACAAGTGTTGCAGTGATAGAGAATACACTTACCTTGGAAAAAGAGAATCTCTGTTTAAGTCTGAAAATTATGGCAGGGACTGGTTTCCATGTACAGGAAGCAATTATTTTGCTGTCTAGCCCTCTTAGCACTGTGTTGCAGCAAGGATAATACATCACAGCGTAAGGGCAATATCCAAACAGCGACAAGCTTTCTGCTTAATGGCATCCAGTTGTCTTCCTTAGCGTTGCATTGCAATTAAATCAAAATATAAGCAATGACAAGTAAACAGAAAAAACAACAGTCTGTGCACCTTCACCTCCTAAAGCACATATCAGACAATTACTATCAGTATAAAAATATTCAGTATTACATACAGCTGAAGTATTATTAAAATACTTCATTTAAGTGGTGCACACCCAGAAATGCCTGTGACAGCGTGGGAGGACTCACTTGTGAGATTAACTCTGATTTCCTTGGTAAAGACTCATACAAAATAAATAATTAATTAATTACTATTAAAAATAGATGAGTAACTGGCTAATCTGTTTTTCTCTTTAGGTGACAAATCTAAATGTGTGGTTTAGTTTGATCAATAATCTAAATGTTTTCCTTCATCTTATTTTATACAGAGTCTGTCTTGGTCTAAATGCTGGTTTTTAGTTTGTCTGTTACTATCAATTCCTACAAGATAGTCTACTTTGTATTCTGTATAGTGTGCCCTCGTCCTGGCTGTATATAAGCTCGGATTTATTGCAATGAGTTCAGTGGTTGGTGCTTTTGTAATTTAGCTGTAAGCCATGGTTTTATTGCCATCTGTTTTTACTCAGAACTGTAGGCAATTAAAAGAAAACCCTACATGCTGTTTATTGTAGAGAATGTGGAAATTATGTATGTATATACTCTTAAATATGTGTACATATACAGAATACATGTGTACATGTATTTGTATGTAAATAAAGAGAGTTTGCTAAATCTGGCACTTGCTCGTGGCATACTTGATTTTTAATGTTTTTTCTTAAATGTTGTGTGTATATACATATGCACACACGTATATATATATTAAAGACAAAGTAAAACTAAGGCACTGTAACATTTTTCCCCATTTGTTTTTCTAGGAGATTAAGTATGCGCTAAGTGCACTGTGCTACAAGCCTAGGCAGAGTAGGTTCAATAGCATTTCATATTTGACAAATTAAGTGTATGTTTTGACAAAGTCACGAACTGTTTAGTAATTGTGCAGGGTGCATTAGAAGTGAAGGGGTTAGTCTAAATTAGGAAACGCTGGGAGAGGCAGCGGCACGCTGCTGATTCAGCCCTTGCTCCAAGTTATCATCCTCTGGCACAGACATCCCCTCACTGAAGCACAGCCACATCCCAGGTTGAGCTTTCCAGACCTCAGGAAGACAAACCAGGGCCTTGAGCAAACACACACCACTCTGTAAACACCCAGAGAGCCTGGGCTACCTGGGGATCCACATGGAAAGGCTTCTAGGGATCAAGGGCCAAGTATTTTAACAGGTTTAACACTGAGCTTCTTGAACAGGAAAACAACATGCATCCGCCTGGCAGCTTTTGACTTAAAACAATTCTCAGGCTCTTCAAGTGAGGCTCAGGCTGGTGCCACACCACTGGGGCAGTGTTGGGTATGGGCAGCAGCAGAGAAACAGAGCCCTCTACAGCAGGAGATGGTGAACCTGGACCCATCTTCCAGCAGAGCACTGGGAAGAGCTGTCATCTAAGTCCCACCAAGGAGCTTCCTGCTCCCAAACCTCCTGACAGAGGAGCCACCACCACCAAATGTGCTTGGGTCCCTCCGCACCCAGCAAACCCGGAACAGTTCAGCAAAAGCTGAGGTTTGCTGAGGCTGCAAAGGCAATGGCGCACAGGAAGGAGGGGCTGCCTTTGGAGACTTAGTGGGTGCTTTAGCATAGTCCGAATGTTTTCCCAGGGAGAACTTAACCTCGGCAGCAGCATCTGACCAGTTTTCCAGCACTTGGAGCGGGGGCAATGGGAGAAGCCTGCACCTTGCTCCAAGCCCCAGCACAAGGCAGGGGCTACGCAGCTACAGCAGGAGGGGTTTGGTACCAAGGCTTGCTCCTTCTCCTCACCACCACACTTTTTTCCTATCACAATACCTTAAGCTTAAGAAACCCCCAACCTGGAATGCTTTTTTCTGATCAATTTTAAGAAAAACACCGCAAAAACCCCACAATCTTGACTGCAGTCAAAATCACATTAAAGAAGTTACTTGCATGTAAGCAAAATACAATGTAATGAATAGAAGGGCAGACTTCATAAGGTCAAATTTTACACTGCCCATGTAAACAGAATTAAATTTGAATTAATTTCACACAGAATAGGCCATTAGAATAAAACAACAACCAAAACCAATCAACAAAACAGACCCCCCCACCATTTTCCTGTGGAACAGGTGACTCATTTTAGACAAGTTTCAGGGATTCTTCCTCACACAACTCTTACTCAAAGGATTTTAAAGTAAAAATCTGGAAGATTAAATAACATTTTCTGGAAGTGTCCCAAGTGGACAATAATGACTTATAACCACAGCAACTTAATCTGAAAGTTTTTAATATACATGTTTCAGTTTAATATACATCTTCAATTTAATCCAAATCTCAACAGTATAGTTGTGCATGCATGCATAGCAAATGCAATATGCATTTAAACTCCTTACTAAATACACTTCCTATTGCTTTTCCCATCCCATGGATATACATATAAAAAGTCCCAATAAAAAGCTAATTCACATAAGCATTGGCACTCATGCTTGAGGCAGCACACTGCACAGTGCTGTAGGAACCACATGCACATGAGTGCTAGCTTTTTTAGTCATTTCAACTGGAGCAGGGAACTAACTTAGTTTGAGGGCGTTCTTTCCTTTTTCCCCTCAAGAATTTCATGCCTTGGATCGGGAGCCTCTTCATCTCATTGTAACCCTTGCCTGTGGTTGGATCCTGCTGCAAGCTCCTTGGCCTCTCCCATCATTGCAGTGCTGCGATGTTGCGCTGGGAGCCAGGGCACTTCCCTGGCCTTGCTGCCTGTGGCAATTCCCAGGCTCTTACATCAAGCAGCTGCTACGGCAGTAAGCAAGGCAGGAAAAAGGCAAAAAGCCGAGCATTGTTTGCTGTGAGCTCCCTAGGGTCGCTACATTTTCTTTTTAGGGAGGATTTACAAGGCAGTGCTAAAAGACCAAACCCCTGAATAATCCCGATACCACTGGTAAAACTCTCATAGCAGCTAGGTGAAGGTGTTCAGTGCACATCAGCATCCTGTGCTGCTTTCTGTTAATTCAAGGACATGAGAATTTGCTATTTGTTTTATGCTCTGCTGACTAGCGTAACCTGGATAATGTTTTATTTATAGTATAATAATGATCCATCATTTCCACTGTCCCTATTCAAATATGCACAGTTGAAAAGACAAAAACAAGTCACAATATACAAAGTAGCTCAATGAAACACATGGTAATCAAGTAGATTTTTAGCTGTTGGGTGTCTTGTTGAAAATTGAGGTTTGCCAGTCCCATCTCTTTTGCCAACACCTCTTGCACGCATCCGTCAGAAGCGGCCTCCTTCTTTGTTTGAAAACTAAGAAATAAAGCGACATACTGGCAACTAGCACCAAACTGTACTGAGAGAAGTATTGTCTGTACTGTGTTAGACAAAACACTAGCAGTTAGTGTCATCCCCTCGACAGACTTCCAAAGAAATCACAGGTTTTATCACATCCCTGCTCGATTCAGGTCCCTGGAGTTAGTGAAGAGAAGTTAAACCACAACTCACCAGGCAGCTCCCCATTGCCTGTGTAGCCCTGCTTGCTGCATGCGAAGGAACACACCGGATCCACAAAAAAGGGATCCAAGGGACTGGTTTTGCAGAAGAGTTGAATTGTCATGAATTGCCCCGGCTTCAGTCAAACCACACCTCACCTGGGGTGGCTGCTGAGCAAGGGTCAGCCAGACCTCAGCAGATCTGGAATCGGAAGGGCTGAAAGATGACTGGAGACTGCTGGATGCTGCCGGCAGCACGGTACAGCAGCCTCTTTCTGCAGAGACCGCTGTAACCATCCCCATCAGGCCACTCTCCAGCCCATAATACCTGTGAGTTTTCAGTCAGGAGCAAGCCTGCAGTTGCTGGTGCTCTCCAGCAAGAACCCCAGTCACTGAGACTAAATTCTGAAGGGAAAGAGTCACCAGAAAATGCTTTTCCAAGGACATAATTCAGTCTTTAACTCAGCTCAAATCCAGCACCAGCTTCACCCCAATTAAAAAGCCATTATGCTCATGGGAAAACAGGTTTTTTTCAGGGGGAAAAAAAAAAAAAAGCTACCTACATAGACAGTGGTAGGACTCTAAAACAAGACTCCAAAAGAAGCACCAACAGCTTCCTATTCAACAGCAGTGAAACAGCCAGCCAGGTCTGACAGGTTTGCTTGCACTGCTCTCTTGTTTTTTTCAGGTCAGAACAGGGAAGAAAAAAATTCCATTAGTTCAGGGACTTTTGAATGTATTCTCTTCACTGTAGGAAGATGCACGTCTGTGATTCCTCACCCAGACAAGGGAAGCTGAATTATACTGAGGGAGAAGAGATGTTCAGTAATTCTCTGCTTATGTCAAGAGGCTCAACTACCTTTCCTAACCAGCTTTAAAAAGGGAATGGCTTTAAACTAACAGACAGTAGATTTTGATTAGATGTAAGGAAGAAATTCTTCCCTGTGAGGGTATGTGAGGCACAGGCTGCCCAGAGAAGTTGTGCCTGCCCCATCCCTGGTGGTATTTAAGGCCAGGTTGGACCAGGCCTTGAGCAACCTGGTCTAGGGAAAGGTGTCCTTGCCCACAGCAGGGGGGTTGGAACTGGATGAGCTTTAAGGTCCCTTCCAACCCAAACCGTTCTGCAGTTCTCTGGAATGACTAAC